CCGCTTAGCCCAGCTAGAACTGCGAGGGTGGTTTAATCTATTGATGATAATTCAAATAATATACTTATAAAGGAAAACGTATGCTTGGTTTAGACAAAAGAGTAAACTCTTTTAGCAGAGCAGTCTGTCGAAGCTTTTCGTCTTCCCCTTAGTTACTGATTTTAATTTGTTGTAAGATTACTTCAATATATTTTCTAAGATTAAAAGCATTATTTTATAATTTATTGCAAAATGTAGCCTCGAGGCAGCTAACTTCAAACATAGTTTTTCAAGGGTTATAAGAACCATAAAAAGAGGGACATAAAGTACAAAAGCGACACTTATCTGTTTCACCATTTTCAGTATCCTTTGATTCTATCATCCGGAAAATTAGCTTCCGATCCTAGGCTTGGTTTAGCCTTGTGTCCATTCTAAGAATTTAAAGACCGAAGCCTATTTTTGTCTGTTTAGATCCGTGGCAGCCACCGTGTTTGCGCATGATCGATCTTAAAGCCAATAGTTTTCTTGTACACAATAGTTACGCCTGTTTTACTTATTTATTATTGTTTTTTTTTTTAATATCTTTAGCATTTGAGAACTACTGATTTAAGAAATATTTTCAATAACAGATGAAAGCCTACCATAACTTTATTTATCTGGGCTTATCTCTACTTCCAAAACTTAAATGTGTCTATATCCTATTAGTTGTTGTTCAGAGGTTTCTAAAAAATTAAAGCGACCAACAAAATTTTTAATTTAACTTCAATGTTAATCTAAAAATCTATTAGAAAAAATTATTCAGTTTTTCTTAAAACTAGCTTGAATATCTAATAATTTTTCACAGTTTTACGAGCCACCCTCTTGCAACTGTGGTTGCATCGGCATCGGCAACGGCAACGGCATCGGCGCTAGCTTCAGTTTCAGTTTCAGCATGTTGTTGTTTGTCGAAATTCAACATGCGCAAATGCGATTTGAGCTCATCGCTCGGTGTCGCCGTCTCCGTCGCCACTTATAGCTCCGTCTCTATTTGGGTGTCTGTGTCTGTGCATCTATTTCTATCTGCTGAGTTCGAACTGGCACTCACTGCGTGTTGTCGATGTCGGTTGTCTTGCATTGCATTTTGGGAGCTTTAGCTGTGACAAATCTTTATGCAATGTTGCATGTCGTCTGATTTTGCCATGATGACATGCTGATGGCATAAGCAGGGACAGAATACGGAAACACACGCCTCCCCATTTCTTCTTTCTTTCCTCGTTCCCGTTGTGTCTCCGTATCTCAGTCTCAGAGTCTTTCAGTGATTTACTCAGTGAAGCGTTAAGCGCAAAAATTGGTAATGGCAGTGGCTGGCAATAGTTGTTCTTTCTTTTTAGCAATCATTGCGCAGGTTTTTTGTGGTTTGATTTGGCAGTGCATCCAAGCTTGGACAACACGCCAGCTACAACATGTGAACATGCTCTCTATATACACTATGTTAAAAAGTTACGGAAGGAGAGTATATTTAATTACATTATTTTATATTTTCGGTCTTTGTATAGAAAAAGTTTACTTTTATATACATATGTTTGGAATCGTACGTGTGCAATGAGTCTTGTGATTATTTAAGTGCCCTGACACTGAGTAATTTATTATTATTCAAAGTTATTTTTCCGTGTCTTTAAAATACCCTGATCTTTAAAAAATGTTTTTTCAATGTTCCATACCTACTATATGGTATTTTGTGTTTTTCTTAAATAGGACTCTTACATACTTTTAGGCAAAGTTAATTGTGGGGCAAAGCCAAGGCGCAGGCACGCGCCAACTACAACTTTTTGGCGCACTAGAACCATCTTCCATGTGCTCGAAACTTTTGCAATAAAATTTGTTTCAAATTGCCTTTGAATAGCGTTGCCGCCAAATGCCAAGCGGGACAAGTGCTGGAGAGTGCGACAGAAATTGGGTAATTTGAATCGCATCCTAGATACTCTTTAGCTTCAAAGTTGTCAACGGGAGTTGCCCCCGAGTGCGTGGCATTAGGAAGCAAAGTGCACCCCGGGGGGGCATTCGGGCCTGGTAAATAAATATCAAATATATTGAGAGAGGTCGCGCAAAAGTTAATTACATTGTGTTAACGGGCCGACTAATTTTGTAATTCTGTTTCTGAATCATTTAACCATGAAATTGGCTGGCCAGCCACGCCCAAAACGTCCATCCGTCCAAATGTTAACGCCCCAGACCCCAGCCAAATGATAGTCCGTAGCGCATTAGCCGCGCATTTACAGCTCGACAGCAGCGGCTGCCTGTTTCAGGACGAGTTTACAGCTCAAATGTGAAAATTAGTCTTTCAACTGGTTATCAGCTTACAGCCGGAGGCCCCTTCGTCACCCACCAGACCATCTACTCCCTCGTCCGTACCCAGGACAACTCAGTCGCCGTTTGGCAGCTGGCACAAAATTTATATTGAAACTTTCTGGTGCTGAGGCACATTTTGAATATTTTGATTATACGTATTACATATTATTATTTTTAATTTCTGTGGCTTTTACTCATAAATTAATGCAATTATATGTGCCGCAGGCGCTGCCCATGTGGGCGGGGCTCAGCTGCGTGTACGCCTGATTAATTTCCAGTGTCTTTTGATGTTAGCAGCTGGCCCCAGAGGCATTGCGGCAAATGGCATTAGCGCGCAAATAAATTTAATTAAATCATTTTCGTTCAACTGTGTTGTTAATAATTTGTATGTACTTGTATTTGTGTCTGTGTGTATCTGACTGTGGGTGTTTGTGTGTGGGAATGATAAGCTGTCCGAAAATGTTGGTGTATTATCACGAAGCGAAAAGATTGAAACGCACTTACTAAGATCTTAGGTAAACTGGGAATGTATTATTTATAGGAGTTTACGAAAACGATTATTTACAAGCTTAACTAGATTTTTAATATGATTATTTAATAAACCATAAATGGACTTACTTTCGAATTTAAGACTTACGAAATTTTTAGGTTTGTCGTCTTTGCCTTACTTTTTTAAAAATGTAAGTATAAGAATTCATTCTCATATGCAATGCAAAATATAGTTTTTTGAGAGATTTCTAAAAAAGGTCAATAACCGTAAGACAAACGTGAGCCAAATTTTACAAATTCCTGATTTGTAGTCCAATATCGAAATATTTACAAATACTGGCATTCTATCTTAAATCAGGTTGGATTTGAGAGGTAAAAAACAGACGCACATATTTTTCGTAATTATCTTCAGATGTTTTGACGTTCTTCATAGTAAGGCCCAAGGCTTTAAATGCTGCAGAAAAAGGCTTTTGACCTGCTTAGGCCGGGAAAATGGCGCCCAAATACATATCTGGTTGCGACGTACAGTGCGTATACGTAATAAACAAAACAACTGCAGCTACAATTGTTGCCATTGCTTTCTACGTTGATTGTATGTGTATGGGTGGATGTATGCTTTATTTGAATTTACTGCCAAGCAGCCAAACACAGTTGAGCTTTCCCATGGCCGTGCCATATACATACATACTTATATAGTGCGAGTCAGTGTCACGCCTCAGCTTCAGCCACAGGCACGCTTACGCCCAAGCCCAAACCCACGCCCTCGCCCACGCCCACGCCCAAAGGCACGCCCACTTGGACCCACTCCCAGGGCAGACATTGTTCGAGTGTTTGGCGTTTGCCTCTGTTGAATAATAAATTGTATTTTGCGGCATTTAAAAGCAATTTTTAACATTTTTCAATCTCAATGGTGACGATGAAATCCCGACACACGCACACATTCATAAATAAGCATACATACAATATGTACAAAGGCGAGTGTATGTGTGTTTGTGTGTTGCGTACAGCTCATACAGATGAAGCCGATTGAGCCGATGGAGCTGCTGCGCCAGGCTGTGTGTTGCACACATAACGAGCATCGTTGTTGCCATTCCGGCCGCCTTGTGCGCCACAGTTTTGTCTAGCAATTTCGCAGTGAATTGTCCTGGGAGCTCAACCGAGCCAGCCAAGGATGTCAAACAGCAGCACCAGAAGCAGTAGCAGCAGCAGCCGCCGCAATAGCAGTGGAAGCCGCAGCAGCACTTGCAACATTTTTGGAAATAAAGCTGGCGGCGGTACATGATTCTCTGCATTTGGTTAAGCTTCGAGTGAAGACAGCTACGATTCGGCAGCAAAACAAATTGCAGCATTTAAGACCTCTGTCCGTTTGTCTACACCCTCTGCTTACCCCTTTGCCCCTCTGTGTTTATCATTCTATCTGTGCGTGTGCAGAGCCAGCAAATTGCTGCAAATTTTGTGGGTGGCAGAGGCAGCTTTGCATAAAGTTTGATTAAGTGTGTAATCTAGGATCCAACCCAGGCACCATCTCCCAGTTCAAATGATGCTGCATTCATTGTTCGATATATACTTTGCCCAGCAATTGCTTGGGCTATGAAGCAACAGCCAGAATCAGACCAAATTGTAATTTATGTAATGCTCAAGATTAATAATTATCAGTTCGATGTTAAGAAGCTTGACTGCGAAATTCAGACGGAAACATATAAAATGGTTTATCATTATAGAAAGCACGATTTGGAGATTCCGTGTATGTTCGTTTGAGTTTTGCCACCCATGAGATTACTTTTAATTAAATTACCTCCTGGGCTGTAAAGTAAGTTAATCTCCCAAAACTATTTAAACTATATCTTGAATGATATTTTAAGTAAATAGCCAAAAGGCAAATAATTCTAAAGATGCGGATTCTACTCTTTTTGAATTTCAACGACCAAATTGGGAATTGGTAATCACCTGTACTGAATTGTGTCAGGGACATTTGCTATAAATAAAAAATAGATATGTTTTAGTGTTTGGATCGAGTCAACCAAAATCCAAGCATATTTTTTTATATAAAATTATTTAAGGTTGATGTAAAATGCAATTTTATTAACTTACTCATTTAATCAGTGCAACTGGTTTTTTCTGTCATTTCATTGGCTTGGAAAATCTATTTAGAACGTTAAATCGCACTTTAAAGTGCAGTTGCTAGTTGAAAATAGTGAAAATGTCGCCTGAGTAACCCTTCTTGTGTATTTGCCTAGTGCGAAGGGAAATAGTAAAACTTTTGTAATGAGAAAAGTTAAAGAGAAAGAAACCGTCGACAGATTTCAGTTCCATCATAAAGGGCGGGGCATCTTAATTCCGACTAAGAAAATTCAGAGCAGGCATTGCTTTGTAGCTGGCATACAAGTCAACAGAAAAGTAACGATAGAAGTTTAAATGGATCAGCGCTTACAGCGACGTCGTCGGATGAAGAAGAAGCCAAAGTCGGGGTAGGTAATTCGCACAGCAAGTAGCAAGTAAGCAGCACAATGACAATCCGACAACATCCTCTAGATTAAGCAGGCTGCTGCTAGATTTAGCGCCTAAGTTCAAATCATCGGCCAGCTATACGCAATTGGTCTGGGATCAGGTGCTGTGCGTTCTCTTGCCACTGTTGGCCTTCTTCAGGGATTCCGTGCGCGTGATCAAGCGCTGCACGAAACCGGATCGGCAAGAGTTTCTACGCTCTGCTCTGGCCATCACAGTGGGTTTTCTCATAATGGGCTTTCTTGGCTTTATTATAAAACTGCTGCACATACCTATCACTAATATTATTATGGGCTAACCTGTGGGGTCAAATACTCGACAAGAACAACAACAACAGCAAAAAAGCAGACAAAAATAAAGTTTCAATTCAATTGGCAGCAGACAAAGACTTCACATTCTGGCGCCTGGCCAACCAGTTAAGCTACAAATAGCAGGCAGCTCCATGCCAAAGCCTCGCATGCCAACTGCAAGGCTGCCATAACAAAGCCAAGCTACTAGCTGCCATTGTTGTCTGACCCCGACCCGACACGACCCAACGCGACCCCTATCCAGAGGGTGTTACTAAACTCGGCCCATTGCAAGTGTTGACAAGAAAATTTCACCGCGCACTTTTCTGGAAAACAGTTGCCGTTGCCAAACCAACAACTGTCGGATGTGTGTAAATGTAATCAAATCAGCAACTCGCCAAACTTCACACTGGACTTGAGAAGCTCCAGCAACATTGCCAATTGTCATTTGGAGTGGGGGAGGGGCATTGCCAACAGAAATACTAAGCAAAGGGTCTGGCGTTAAGTCAAGCAAGTGTTGGGCTTACATTTTTTTTTTATGCTTTGCACAGTTATGCGTAGTTTTGTTAGTATAATATCCAGTAAGCTTCTGATTGAGATTAGATTTAATACAACCCTTTTTGACTTCTTTGGGATTTTGTTTCTGCTATAAAGCGGTTTTTAATTAGATATTTTATTTAATAAGGTTATTTACGTTTTAATTTTAGCTTTAATTTAAGTCGCTTAGTAAAATATGGAATTTCTTGCCTTATCAACACAATTTCAGATACAGATTGTGTTCAAAAAAACAAGTAGAAAATCGAAAGAAATGTTTCTCGATTGTTAGCATGGTTTGCACAAAAGGTTTGCCCGAAAATTAGATTGCAATGCTTTTGTATGGCTCGCTTATCTGTCCACACGCAGGAGTAGTTAACCACGTTTGCTAGCCGAGTGCAGAGCATCGTCCTTGATGTTTTCATATCCTTTAGCCAGTTGCATGCGCATTGTCGCATGTGTCTCCATTTGCTGCTGTTATGTTTTATTGATGAGACTCTCAAACCAAAATTGATGATGCCTTGGATGCGACTTCATCGTGCTCCCTCCGCCTTTCACGCCAACAAAATCGATGCGCTGCCAGTCAAAAAATTTAGTTTGTTTGCCTTGTTGCGTTTGCCGTTGCTGTTCTTGTTGATGCTGATGCTGTTGTTGCCGCTGGCAAATGGCGCAAATTTATTCAAAACTTTTTCTGTGGCAGCTACAGTTGCAGCCACGGTCGCCGTCGCCGTCGACGTTTCCGTATGCTTTAAAGCGCTTTTATGCAACAGGCGACAAAGCAGCTCAAAATAGCAACTTAGCAAATGCCGAGCAGTAAGCGTGTTGTGCTTCGGGGAGCACCTGCCGCACTCACACGTGCACACACACAGGTCCACCCATATGCGCTGCACTAAAAAGTGGCTTCCACTTTCGAGGTTATGAAGTCACTTAAGCAAAGGGAAAACGTGCCTGCCCCACGGGCATAGGGTAAAGGATAAGCGAAAAAAATGAAAACTCAAGAAAACTAAGCAACAGAAGAACGGTATAAAAGTAGTCAAAGGGAAAACTAACGGACAGACATATACGGCGCCATGGCCCGACCCCGCTTGCCGGCATAGCCTGCAATTGAGTTAGTTATCTTACACTTTGCTAAACCTCACAATGCAGAAGAAAATACGCCCCGCTTTCGGGCATGCTAGACATTTATTGCACCCTACAATTGGCTAAAAAAGATACTTTCACATCGGGAGGTTATTACAAGCTCAAGCGAAATCAATGAAGTAATCATTTCAAACTTCTCTCAAGGCAATATATGTTTAATTTATTGAATACTTTCGAAACCTATGGTCAAAATGATCATAAGGTTTGCTTTCTATTAATATATTTTCGGCGTTTTTGTTTTTTTAAGAATTTCATGAGTTTCTGTTCAAAGTTGCATTCAGAAAAATTATTTATTTTCAATTTGAATTCAAACGAGTTCTAAAGAATTAGATAAAATGTTTTATAAATTTTCTTAAGTGCGCTTTTCAAAGTGTATTTTTGTTGAATATTTGAAGTCAAACATAAAAGAATTTTTAGTATTTTTGATTTTTTAAAGAGCATGCCTAGTTCGTTGGTTCAAGAAAACCTCTTTTGATTTCAGATATTTGAGTTCTTTTCTTTTGCTGTGTTTTAATTAAAAGTGAAGTGCGGCCATTAATTTGCAACTACAAATTACACTCAATAAAACATGGCTAGCACACTGATTTTTCGGCACACACACACACATACACACACACACAAATACACTCAAAATTTGCCAGCACATTCGAGTGAGTGTGTGTGCGCATGTGTGAGTGTGTGTCTGGCTGGCAATCAATTTGCACTTTGACTACAATTACTGATTTTCGACACTTCAAAGGATTTTATAAATTGCCATTTGGGCACCCCAGCAAAAAACCCGAACTCAGACCCACTCAAAACTGCGCCCATTTCTGCTGTTGCTGCTGCTGCTCCGACTTTGGCAATTTGTTTTGGCCATTTACTTTGCCAGTTTTCACACATGTGTTTTAGCTCTTGTTGCCTTTTGCTATGGTGTAGCCCTTTCCTTTTGTAAGGCAATTTTTTTGTTGATTGCGCCTGCCGACTACAACTTTAATTAAGGCAATGTGCGGATCCTCTGGAAAGTTAAAAGTGCGCTTTAGTGGGCAGTAGAGAGGCGTGCCACATAAATGGGCTGCAAATGTGTTGCAGTGCTGCAGTGACATGACAAAGATCATAGTTTATAGCCCATCGATTATCTATTTCATTCTTCGTATTGATGCTAGATTTTGAAGCTTGCCGCCTGGCAGATACTTTTGTCATAGTTCATTTGTATGTCTGTCTTCCCGTCGATATAAAAGAAACAAGATTTGTACCTGTGGGCGATCAGTGTCTTCTTTATTTATAAGTGTAATCAGAATCAATAATTTGTGCACTTTAAACCAATAAAACGGAGCTTCACAAGCAGCTCTCCTTGTCGCATCTAACTAAATATGCCTTTTGACAGTTGGGACCTGGCCAATGCGGACCAGTTAAGGGCCCAGGCGAGCCGGTCATATTATATGGCACGCTCGCATATTTAATAAAAACCAATAAACGTTAAAAGCCTTTGAGTGGGCCATTGCCATAAGCTACCTGCCGGCCGGCCGGGTGGGCGGCTGGTGACCAACTGAACGCCCGATTAAATGCATTTAAATGTGTTTTCATCATAATTATGCATATGCAAACATGACTCGACCAATTCGCCCAAGCTGGCCCAGTCGCCCCTTCCCCCATAGCCGACAGCCTGCACTGTTGGCGGTGCCGTTGGTTTTCCGGGAGCTTAAGTGCTTTAATGGCTTATAATTATGTTGCATGCAATTATTGTCGATAGCATACAACGTTGGCTCCCACGGCGGACAAATGCAACGAAAAATTATTTAATTATTAAGTAAAAAGCAAATGGATATATCCACAGCGCGTTTGATGTGTGTGCGAAGTGTGGAAAAACTTCGGCAGCAGTAGCAGCAGCTGGGTTGTTTTGCTTTTGAACATAAAATTCAATCGCTAAATTATGCAAATATGCCGCAACTGCGACAATCTGTGATGGCGACCCAATATGCGCAACATTACGTATACGCAACGTGGCCGCTACTGAGGCCGAGGCTGCGGCCGCGTCCCTAGTACACACACGCACACACACACACGAGCATGTGTGTGTGCAAAGAGGTCGACACGTCGCGACGTTGAGTTCATCGATGATGATTTTGCTGCAATTCCGTTGCCTAGTTTTGGGGGCACAGCAAAAACAAAAAAAAATAAAAATAAAAAACACCAATAATTGACAACTGTCAGAGACCAACGTGGGGCCTTCGTTTCCGTGTGGAGTACGGCTTTGGGCTCAACTTTTGTATGCCGCTGGCTGCGTCTTTGCTGCCATTGCTTTTGCGGCATTTCTGTATGTGCGTTTGCCACCTTTCCGGCTCGCTTAGTTAGCTGCATGGCAATGGATCGGCATCCAGATCAGGTTTGCGGAATGGGTTGCAATTTTATTTCGGCAACGTGACAAACGCAATCAGCGTCAGTCACATGTGTAAAAATGTTTTCCGCTTTATGCTTGTGCGTATTTGTGTGCTGTTTCTGTTTGATGGCACCCAACAGCAGCAAGACAGTCGGAAGCAGACAACTGGAGATGTATGCAGAGAGCTTTGCATGGATACTGATATATGTGGGCTGCTGAAATGGGCAAGGGGATTGAACGCTGGTACGGCATTTCGTCAGTATATTGACGCATTCGTTTCAATTTTTGTTTTATTCAACTTGGAGGACATGCAAATATGTCTATGTATGGAATGGTAAGTGCTACTGAAAGGAAATTTCAGAGAGTTTGCTTTATATTCTTTTATTATAGTTGAGATATTTTAATTACTTATTTATATTTTAGCAAATAAGCTTATATACATAATATTTACTACATTTTTATTCAAATAAGAACTATATAAATAAACATTATGAGACTACGTGTAAATTGATGTTAAATTAGATACTTTGAAAATTTCATTGGGTGCATAGTTAAATGTCAGCTTATTTTTCATTTGGGTGCGCCTAAGTAACAGGAATAAGCGAGCAGTAGTAAGTGCTATTCCCAATGTACACTTCAAAATATTGCAATTTTTTCGTAACGAACATTGAAAAGCAACCTGCTGCAGTGCAGGTTGTTGTGCACGTGTGTGTGAATGCAACATAGAATTATCTGGTGCTTGGTATAAAATGTTTGCCAATTGGCATTGCGAGTGTAAGTGCAAAATGGAAATTCGATTGCAAGCCCGAAATATTTATTAAATTGTCGACTGCAAATTATGTATGCAATTTAAACGAAATTATTCATGTGAGAAGATTTTTCAAATATTTATGTCCAATATGTAGTTGTGTATAGCCCAATGCCAGCATGCTTGTGGCCAATTTTCGGCATTTTTGTTTGTGCCAGCACAAAGCAAAAATAGCAAATTTAATTAAATCTATGCAATTGCACGACTATATTTAATATTTACATTTTGTGACAATTTTACGCGTCAATTTTCTTGTTGGGTCCAACGCCTTTTGTCTCGTATTTTTATTTCTCTGTGCACGAGCTATGAGTTTTGTTTTTCTTTTTCCGATTTTTTATAAATGCTGCATGAAGCGCACTTCCTGCTTCCTGTGGGCGAAGGGAATCTCGTGGCTATGCTGGTGAAAACAAACGGAAATAAAGATATTTGGGTGGCCAAACTCAAAGTTGAGCTTTGATGTTGCCAGTGCCAGAAACAGAAGATGAAGAAGCGCTTTGAGCCGTTTTGCCAAAAATTGTCAATTCCCTGAACTCTACAAATAGCCAAAAGATGTGTTATATATTATATATTATTCTTATATAGACATTTTTCTAATTTTTCTTTTCTATAGTATTTTTAAGTTTACTTTTATATATTTTTAATTAAGCTGCAATCACAAGCAAGTAAGGAAAAAGTATCTTTTAAACAAATAATATTTTGAACTTTTACATAATTTAATTTGACATAATTTTGTTATACATGTACTTATATTATTCGGGAAGGAATCCATTTTGTTAGCGCCCTTCAGTAGCCTCAAAATAATTTCAGGCACTTAGTCAAGTGGCAATCAGTTGACATTCGATTAGCTTCCACCTTTATTATGCAGCCGCCGTGTACTTAAGATCTGATATCATTTTTGCATGGAATAGGCAAAAAGATCTGGTATGGGGCGATAGGTTTATATCGACTTTATGCAAATGTGAGCCCAAACTTACATGGATGGTGTAGCCGTGGCTTAGCACCTGTTTGCCCCGTATATACTGTAGCTGTTTGTGCCTTGCCGTTGGCTTTCAGTGTCTTTTATGTGTGGCACATTCAATTACCCGCATTTCCGTTAACTGTCACCTTCGCACTGCAATTTTTCACGCAACTTAAATATTTATAAGGTTTATTAATGCGCATGTGGAGTTGGAGGCCGAAAGAAAACATTTATAATTATTTATTATAGCAAAAAAAGAAACAGTTTTTGTGACTGCAATTCTTTGTCTTGTTGCTCGTGTGTATGGGTGTGCATCTGTGGGCGAGTGTGGGCGAGTGTGCATATGTTGCCAGTTGTTGCAGAGTGGCAAACGAAAGCGAAACGAAACTGTCGCGGGAATAGCAATAAATCATTTATGCAGCAGCCTTGCACTTACAGACTCACACTCGCACAGCCATACGCACATGTGTACAAAGTGGCATAAATCAACTTACACACTCATGCCCAAATGCACTCATACTCTCACCCACTCATGCATTGGCACAGCCAGACGCACACAAACAGGGACGTGCCCGCAGTCATATGCAGAACTTGCGCGAGTTTTCCCAAAGGAAAATGCTGCAGAAAAACTGCAAACTTACGCGCTTCGCTTCGTCGCCTCGTCATCTCTAGCCAGTGATCCACACCCCACTTCCTTGCCCCACTCACCTTTCGTTGTGAGTGCACGTCAGTGCCTCATGTGTCTCTTGATAAGCACACTTGAAGCTGCAGCATCAGCAGCAGCAGCAGCAGCAACTGCAACTGTGGCAAAAGAAAAGGCGCTGTTCAAATCGGCTTCTTCTTTTTGCTGTGTCGTTTTTGAGACACGCGAAGTACTTTATTGACAATTGCCAAAGTGTGTTGAACAGTGTAAGTTTTCTCATTGAATTTAATTTCTTTTCTGTATAAGAAACTGAATCGTATTTAGCTTAAATTTGCATGCTCATGTTTTTGAATGTTCTGTAGTATGAACAATTAAGATGTCTTAATGTAAAAACTTATTTTAATTTGTGTATTAACTATATTTAGTATCGTTTAGTATTTCAAATGCTAATTCCTCTGTGGAATTACAGAATTGGCAATAGAAACCATGGACAATACGTGATATCTTCATGCCTATACAATAATTAAGAGTTGCTTTAACGTTACTTTTTGGTTTTGGCTCAGATCATTTAACTCTTATAACTTGACTTTCAAGGAGTATAAATACTTCCGCGGCATTAGCTATTGTGTATTTCTAGCGTAAGTGACTATATGTGCAATTGTTACAATTTTGGAAATTTATCTACGATATATAATAGCTTTAAAATCATTCTGAAAGAATACGTCATATAACTAGATTATAAATATTTATATGTTTATTTCATATTCCGCACGTCGCACCAATTATCATCTTGTTGCTATTTGAGGGCTTTGCGCTGCAGAGTTTTTTTTTGTGTGCTTTTATACAACTTCCGTCGATTTACGAAATTATAATTGCGCCGTTCCCGTAACCAGTTTCAACGAGCGCCAACCAAAAAGCAGGCAACGGCCACACCTCTTCATGTTTGGGGGCGCTGCATAGAGGAGTCGTGTAGCGTTCACAATGCGCTTCCGCCTCGTTGTTGTTTTGCATGTTGACATGGCACGAGAAACGTGGCAGACGCGGCCACGTTACTCATACGTCGCGTGGGCGGGCGTGTTGACAATACATGGCCATATTTTTCTTTTTGCCGCTAATGTGGCACGCCCCAAGCCTACACTTGCACACACGCATGTAAAGCGCGTAAAGTTGAAATGACAATCGAAAGCCGGGCCAACAATGGCAGCCAGAGGCAAAACCGGAGCCAGTCAAGTGTGTGGGTGTTTCAGCTGCTGCAGCTGTGCGCCTTTTCTTTTCACATAACAACAACAACAACGGCAACAGCAGCAATGCAACGTGACAACTTCCGTTGCATGCGCTGCCGGCACAAAGAAAAACAGCGTAAAACTGTAACGGAATTGCATTGTGAAAAGCAAAATGTTTTTTCCTGGCACACGGCAAACAACAACTGTATGCAGCAACAACAACCCAAGGAACACAGTAACACATTTGAAAAAAAAAGGCCTTCAGGCTGATATCAGCACACATCTATTAATATTATTGCATAACGAGTATTGCATGCTATTTCTGACTAATGCTCAGTTATCGCAAATCAATTAAAGCCGCACGCCAACGCAATTAATTTGATTTATACGCCCCGTGGTATACAGTGCAATTTCATTTAATTATGCAAATCAGACCATCGCGGCCAGCTTATTAGTTTAAATCATTTGACGGTTGTTTTTATAGCCACATTTCAATTTATTAGTTTTCGTATGTGGAAAAAAGCTAAGTGAAAGTAACAAATAATTCGATAGTATCAAAACTACTTTCTGATTAAAAATTGGAAATGATAAGGAAGATACGCATATTTGATACAAATCTGACAGATTGACAGATATTTACTGCCTACCCGGAGTTATATTAAGATATTCCGTTGTGACAAAGTTTTGTATCAAACATAGCAACATTTTAAAGGAGTAAATGCATAAATCTTTCTCCAAATTATTCACTTGGCTGCACTCGTTGAGAACTGCAATATTTTGACCCCTTAAATGTTCTAACTTCTGGAACTGCTCAATATCTATATGGCCATTGGCGTCCAAAATGTTCATCTCGGCAGCTGCGCAACGCACATAGCACATATATTTCATTTCAACATTTTCCAAATGTCCTTCGGCGTTTGCCTGATCTATTTTGGCTGATAACTCCGGCCTGGTGGCATTATTTTCAGCCAGGCATTTCTCCTCCACGTCAAGGGGTACGCTTAAGCTCTATAATTTAATTCAAATATGTAATGTAATATGTCTATACAGATTGTTATGGAATAACTTACTTGTACATAAGCCAGCATAAATGCAAAAAGTATTAATACATTCCAAGTTAAGTTTAGGGCTGACATTTTATTGCTGATTTTATTGGTTCCTTATATTGTTTAAGTTAAAAAACTATATTTTGAATTAAAAACTGATCTCGAACACTTCGCTCGGATGAAAACATTTGACAGTTCATCTACATTTGTCATTGGCTTTTATAGAGTCATGATGAGAGCGCCCCATTATTTTCATTATTAAGCTTAACAAGCCAGAACTATGCACAACGCTTTTGAATTAACAGTTGCGTAAGATATAAATTGGATTATCTTTAATAACTCTTTAATGAGCAAACTATTATCAAACTAAGTATTATCTGTGCATCTATAAATCATATTTTTCTGTTTTTAGAATTCCAGTTAATAAACACAGAGTTGCACAATTTCTTTTGTATTAAATTAAATGCGCAAAATATTGACATGAAGTTCATTTTTTCTAGCTTTATATAATTGCAAATATATTATTATTATTGTGTTCAGGTCAACTTTTAAGGCATGTGTAAAATTAATGTCATGTATCATCAACTAAGATCTGTCGAAAATTAGTAAAAAATATTATATATGATCTCAAGATGCTGATCAAAATAACAATAACAAAAAAAATAAAAAATTAACATATGAAGAGTTCTGTTTATGTCAATAATAAATCAATAACAAAGTTTGACTTTTATTTCCAAACAATATATATAATATAATAATATACAATATAATAAATATACAATATAATAATATATTAATTCTTAGCACAAATTTTGTTTGTTTACTGCTCAGCTATAAAGCAGGTTATAATATTGGAGACATATTCGCAGGCATCTGCTTCTCTATGGTACAGTTTATTGCACTTGCGGAAAGTAATGCGATCGGTGTCCCGTAGCTCTCCCAAGCTATCCAATTGCTTCATATTGAGGTATCCGTCAGAGCCCAGTACACCCATTTCGTTAACTACACAATGCATAAAGCACTTGAATTTCCTTTCAATGTTTCCAATTTCTGTGTCCATGATACCATGTTTTATTAGCTTTTCATATTGATTTTTGCTAATGTTGTTCTTATCCAAACATTTATTAATAATTTCATTCTGAGAGTTACTCTGTTGAATTCATATTATTGTAAGTAAGCAGAACTTAATAACATCCAGTAAACTCTTGAGTTACCTGTACGACAATGAATAGAAAACCAAGAAAAATGATTGGATATGCGTTTTTCGTGCAGTTAAACATTGTCTTAATTCTGCTTTCAATCAGTAACTGAATTTTTTTTGTTATGTTTATTTCTAATGTGCATTAAATATATCGCATGCTAGTAATTAATACGCTATTTTTATTTACCATACACAAATAGTGTATGCATTGTTTATTTAGAGCATCTGGTTTGTTGCTTCACGGATTTGTTGCACTCGCGTGTCTAATCGGGCTTTAAATCAGCAAGAATCAGTTCAAACTGATCACAATATACATTAAGATCGTTGAGTAACTTATACAGAACGCCTTCAATCGATGTCCGACATGTCCGCCTATAAAAGTATTTGTTTCTATGCAAACTAATCTCTTTGCATTTACATAGGACAGTAAATTGTTGCAGACAGTACGTTTGTCGGAGTTTGGCGGATTGCTACTTATAAGAAATACATATCACAGGACTGATTGGTCGATTGGCCGTCTGCTTGTACCGATGCAAACTAGTGTGCCAGTTTCAAAGCTTTTGTCATGAAATCTAACAGAGATCCGTCATGGTTTTACAGGCAGATCGGTGCACTATGATTGTACTCAAAATATATGTAAGTAATTGTATTGAGAAATATATTGTTTTCTTCAAAGTTTTCAACACATGTCTGAAAAATCAAGCCCCTGTGTCTACGAACGTATTTCATCTTATTTTTCCATTTATATTAATGAGAGTTAATTGACTGTATGAATACAATTATGTTCGGTTAAATGGCTTTATTGTTTCTGCCTGACTTGATTTTAAGTTGTTGACAATTTTTATGCTCAAGTATTTTTATTAAAGTTCTAGTATGCCGTCAACTTAGTACCAAATGCAAACCTGGCACAATAACAACAGCGAAGAGAGCACGCGCCAAAAACTCACGTAAATTTCATTTTATACGCAGTGAAATTCGCATAACATTTCCTGTCAACATATTTTGCCACACTTTGCAGCAAAAATGAAGCGACAATGCAGCAGCAGCAGCAGCAAGGCCATTATGCCGCACACACACACACACACACACACACACAGCGACAAATTGGTCTGACAGCATCGGATGGGGCATTTCTAACTATGCGACCTCAACACCAGTAACCAACACCAACAACATGCACCGCACCCTCTGCTTCTTCCAACCGAAAACTCGCAACAACAAATGAAAATTCCAAGAATATTCGCATTCGCAGTGAGTTTTGGCTTTTGCGGCTGCCAGTCGCTGTTTACTTGGCTTCCCCGGTTATTTACGGCCTGCAAATTTTTTGCTATCCTATTTGGTTTCTATATACCAATTTTTTGTTTCTTTTCTTTTTTATTTATTTATTTTTTTTTTTGGTTCATTGTTTGTTGCTGGCTCGTTGCCAAAAGGGAAATATGTGTTGTGAAAATTGCACATTTTTATAGCCATCGCTAGGTGCTAAACTATGGGTATCTGCTCCTTTGCTCCCACTCCGATTCTGACCTTTTTAATTGCGCTGCAATTTTTTAGTATCGATTTTTGATTTGTTGTTAAAATAAGAGAATTTTCAACGCATTTCGTGTAATTTGATTATGGTTCCTCGTTTTCGCCACGCCATTCGCTAATTAGGCCCATGAAGCTGCGACGTGTATGGCTCGTTTGGCTTGTTGCATAATTTATTTTTCATATGTAGCAAAGCCGCACAATTTGCATATATTTTGTAGTCGTGTAAACAAGTAAGCAAGTTAGTTATTACGAATGTGGGATGCTCTTTCGAATTATGCAGACATTTTCGCGCCGATGCCCTTGAGGCCTTAAACCGAGCACTGTTCACAATTAACATTTGTTTTTGATAAACACTTTCGATAGATTTTCAGATATGCGAATCAATATCGAAGCACTATAAGCACCTAATTGTGCTTATTAGATAATACTATTATTTTTTTATTATATGTTGATAAAATGTTTGTTTGTTTATATAAGCTTAAAGTAATTGATATATGGCGTTTTACACAATGTTCCATATTTATTCATGAAAACCAACAACTCCAAGTTCCATAAATACAATTCATAAATAACATGGTTAGCGCAGCTATGAATAAAATGCTATGCTCGTCAAATACAAATAAAATATATTGATTCTTTGTGAAATAATTTCAATGCATATAGACCTAAATTATGAAATTATGGCTTTATATATATCCGAAGCAAATATATTACTCAGCATAATTAATAAAAGCTGATTGTATTCCGAATATTTAGCTGATGCTATCCAGAATAATAATACATGTCAACTTCTTAGCCAAGGCATTACATTAATAAAGGAAACACTAAATTGTGACAGTCTTAACTGAAAGCCAAAATTTTCGATTTATTATAACAGTGCTTGTCATAAGTATATTGATGCAGTTAAGTAAAACTGAAACATATGTTGCCGGTGTGTTAGAACAATTTATATAAAACCCCATTGAAAGTTCATCCACATACCTGTTACTACACACACACACACACACACACACACACCCACACACACATTCATACTAATACACACAATATACAAGCTTGAACCCATATTTCATAGATTATAATATCATGGGGAGTGGGAAAGTTTTGCAGTCAGTTTCTTGAAGGTTAAGCAACACAAACAATGTGGCCTCCTGACAGCTCTTGCCATTTATTAAACATGTCAGGGGTGGAGTTGGAGCTTTTCAAGCAGCTTGTCGCTTGGGTGCCACCTTTGCGATTTTCTACTCTATCCAGGACTAGAAAACTTGCTATGCGGAGAATAAAAGTAATGTGTGTAAAACTTTGGATGCTTTGCGTAATAAAAATAAATAGCACGCGGCTTGGGCATGCATGGCACGTATTTTGCATGCACTTTGATGCCACACCCATCAACGCACCAAGCCCCACCGCCCACCATTCACCCACCACCAACAGCGTCGCAGAACAAAACGCCCACAAAATATGCATACATTGTTGGCACGTGCATGCACACAAAGGAATTTCAAACGACATTTTGGGATATGTGTGTAGGGCTGAGCAACAGCTATTGCACGTGGAGCATCATCCGCTAAGATGCTGCAGCGGTGAATGCAATGCATCCTGGCTCAAAATGTCTACTCAGTCAGCCAGACAGGGGTAAATGAAGCTAATTAATTTCCACAATGCCGTAGCCGAAGCCAATGCCAATGCTTAAGCCCGTATTAAAACAAAAGCCAGATTCTCGGATTCGTGTCTGAACAATTGCGGCACAAGTCGCTAACCATTTTACATGGACCAATTAGTGTAGTGTCTGCTACTGGACTACACCATACCACACCAACCGACTGGAAGCTCAGTTCACTGAAATACTTAGCTAGCACATTGTTGGCTCGTCAAAACAAACGCTTGGCATCTCAGCAACTGGCAACACACTTGTTCAAAAGCGATTGCCATAATCAGGCGCTGCAGTTTGCTAGAATGTTATAGGACGTGGAAACCGAGCATTGCAACCAAAAGGTCTTCTAGCTTCTTTGTAAAAAGTTAATGTTAGAGTATATGCTAGTCGATGTCACGTGCATGCATCAATTAAATGTAAAGTGTTAGCTGCTTCTGCATTGCTTTAAGTTTTTGGCAGGGCAAATGGTCATCGCTGGCATGGGCTGGGAGCTGTCAGCTAGTTTACTGGGGTCGGCAAGGGTGCCGGTAGCGGGTGCGAGACCCAAGCCAAGAGCTATGTCCGGTACGGACTTTGGTCATTTTTAACTTTCTGTGCGATTTGCACGGCTCGCTGCATTTTGTGACAATTTTTACTTCGCCTAATGGACAAACCGAGGGTATTTTGGTTGTTGAAGAAAATCAAAAGCGTATATTTGAAAATTTGAATAATAATATAATCAAATAAATATATATATTCCATTTGAAAACAAAAATAGAAAAAAGTTTAGGTTGTAAAATTAATTTAATTCTCTTGGTAAATTTTGTATATAATATATCTTGACAACAAATATAAAAAAAATATTACGAGCTTGCATTTACATTATTATTTATAAAAGATTTTTATTGCTGAACTAATAAGAATTTTATTATTATGGCATTTTATGAAGTTTCCAAAGCTTTCATGTTGAATATTTGAACAAGAGTATACCCGTTGAGTTCCTTGCAAGCCTTGGCCAAATTCTTCTTTCGCTCTATTATATTTTGGCTTGTAACTATGATGCTTAAAGTTCGAGCTAAGCTCTTGTGTGTGAATAGTTATAGTTTTGTTTGGATTTTATACCCTGTGACCATTTAGAATGAACAAAAGGGTTATGATGTCAAAGGATTTAATCACTTTATTTATTTAAATATTTTTGTATAGTTAAATATAACTTTAATAATCTACATATTGGCTTTCATTGCTTATAAATCATTAAACAGACTTTATAAGCTATTATTAATAAAAAAAAGTGTGCATGGGGTATGATGAAAATATGCAATTGTATGTTACAGTCAGAATTAAAACTCTCTGACCTCGACTGAATTGCCATGTTTCACTAATCTTTTGTCCAACTGTATTAATGCTAGTTAGAAAATGCAGAAGTCGTATTTTCCATATTAATTTTTACAAATTTTTAACGAATTTTGTAAATGCTTATGGAAATTAAATGTGTAAAAAGGCTACAATGATTTTGCGAAAGCGTATCTTAGAGTCGTATACTTTTGTTTGGCGTGCTTCTACTTCATTTTATTTTTGGGTGGTGACTGGGCCGTTAACTAAAAATAAACCGAGTGTTAAACGTGGCTTACACGTTGGTCATTTTTATTGCCAGCGTGTGCCGTCAGCCGTGAATAATCGCATTAGTTACGAAATTAAAAATTACAAAATAGAATAGATAAATCCGCCCACGGTTGGGCGGAGGTAAGCCTTTTGTTACCAAACGGCACAACTATTAACTAGCCAAGGAATTTTCAACACACAGCTTCACATAATTTATATTAAAAAGTCTGTCCATGCATGTGTCCAGTAAATTCCTATTTGTAAAGATTTACTGCTAATTGAATTACTAAGGAAGCTTTCAAATTAGTTAAGCAGATTTTCAAGCCTAATGTGCTGGAAGCTAGCTAACTGGAAAGCTTGCTCCTAGCCCCGTCCCCGCATTCTCTGACCCAAAAAGGTATGAAAGGTGCGCCAAGTGATGGGTGTGTTCGAAATTGGTTTAATTTGATATGCCCATCTACGATTTTTGCGGATACTTGAACAGGACAGTTGGCCTCACAATTTTAAGCTTATTTTATAAATTATGTTAGGCTTAAAGGATGTTTATGTACACTTTTAGTGTGCACATAAATTATTTATTGATGCTGTCATAGCTGTGAATTTTGCTAGGTTTTTGATCAGCACGAACGAACGTGCTTGGACTATTCATTTTGAATTATAATTATTCGCTTATCTTTTTCTTTCCTGCAAAACTTTGATTTCTTGCAGAATAATAGAGTAAAGATAAAACTGTTATAAACTCTATTATTGTATTATACAAAGTTACTTTATGAGACCGAAGGCTAAATTGAAGCTAAGGTGCACGATAGGGGGAATCCGGGATTCTTGTAAATGTGTATTCAAATAGATTATAGATTGCACAAAAAACTAGCAAACTTTTCGTGTTGGGCATGGATCGGTTTCTTTGAAGTGTCTATCTTTGAGCTAAGTGCGACGTAAAATTAACAAGAGGAATATTTCGATTGTGTTGGTCGCTTGTTTTCTTTTTTTAACGCTTTTTATTAAAGGAAATGCATGCTCAACCGTATTAGAATCGAATGGCTTAGAGGTTATTTCTTGCCTTCCTTCTTCACACGAATAATTGCGTTCTTCAGCAATTTGTTCGCTATATTTGCATTGCCTACTTTCAGGCTGAGGATTAAATGCGCTCCAATTCGCTTCATTTTTCGCCTGCTGCCTACTTTATTGAATTTCTTCCAGTCATATCTTTTATGCATCTCTCACTTTGAGCGGCAAGTGCTACAGACAGCTGCAATGGACGCCGGCTCATGTCCCTCCTCATTTCCCGATGTGCTCCAGCTCGTGCACATTCTCATTCTCTTCGAGTGATGGCCGGCAGCTGCTTGGGTTAAGGAGAACGTCGTGTAAACTTAAATCAAATCTTCAGGCATGGGGCGAGTGTTGAAATGAAATCAATTTCTTTTGTGCGGCATTTGAAAGGTTTCAAATGATTTTCAATTGTTGCTGTTGCTTGTTGCTTGTTGCCTGTTGCCCGTTGCCTGGTGGCCAAGCATTGACAATCTGCTCAAGCGTCTTATGTATTGACTGGGCCCCCATATGAGACTCATAATCCGATTTCGGTGTTAAATGATTTTCCACGTATTGTGTGACCAAGTGAATGTTTTGTTCAGCTTTTGCTATGTGTGTGTGTGTTCTCTTTCTTAGAAGATTCAACTTTAACCCCGACACGTGGGGTTCAATAGACATTGTTTGCGCCTGGGGCATGTATGTGTGAGTGTGTTCTTTAAATTCCTGTACTTAAACCTTTTGACTGCACCTGCAGGCGAGGCGACTCATTACTTGAGTGCTTAAATGGGCGTCTGTTGTTGCCCCCTGTTGTTGCTGCTGCTGCTGCTGCAGCTGCAGCCTTTTGTGGCAGTTTTGAGTGCGCACTAGAGTTTTTAACTAAAACAACAACAGGCCAAAGTCATCGCCGTCGTCATCATCATCATCATAATCATCTGCCTTCTCAGTTGTATCGCAGCAGGTGCAGCTTTCTGCCTCGTTTTGTTTGTTGCAAAGAGCGCGTCAAGCGTCATTGATGCTGACGTTGATGCCGTCGCTGTCGCCGGAGTCCTCGTCGGCATCTCCTTCATTCCTATAGTAGTCGTCAAGCTGCCACTTGTCACATGGCAACAGTTTAGTTTTCTAACCACTTGCAGCCAGTCGACACACACAAGCTTCCATACACTCACCCACACACACGCACACAACTCAACACACACTTGAGTGCGAGTGCGCCTCAAGTTGCACTTTTACATACAGCAACGGAAATCAACGCTGTGCAAAAAGTGCCCCCAGTCGCCGGCAAATGAATAGAAAGCGCCAACTATACATAAAGGGGGGCGGCAGCTGAAGATCGGGCAGTCGCCGTTTATGTAGTTAAGTTGTTGTGGCTATAAGCACAGGGTAACAGAGGCTATGCCAGACTTTGCATTTCATATGATTAATTGGGGTAAAAAAGGAATGCTTAATTTCATTTTCTATGAACCATGAACCATAATCCTGGAAACCCAAGTTTGGGATTTTTGTTTTGTTTCCTTAGCTTTGAAATATTCACAAATTAATAAAAAAAACCCGGCCTATGAGCCGGATGAACTAACGAGAATATAATGTTAAATTTCTTTCTAGACCCTG